AGATGCAGTGTTTCAATAGGCGGGGTGTAGGGGTGTCTAGTTGTGGGTCCACGTGATGGACGTGGGATGTCGCTCACTTGCTTGCAGGCGTAGACTAAGCCTAGCGCCCATTAACTGACACCTACCTCTCACATGCGGTGCCCCGAAACTAGACTCTTCCTAACGACCACATCCCGGTAATCTCCTCGAGAGGGGAGCTTAACCACGTGAGGGTATCCGTGTGTGCATTTCCACACACGATAATTCTGCTCGCCTCCCACATTCGCTGGCTGCACAAATCACCGCATCGCCACCTCCCAGATGAGACTCCGTTTGCAACCGATCTGGAGGCCGCAAGCGCTCAGCAGGCTGTTAACCCAGTGGCTGGAATACTTGCCTCTTTCTACTCCTTCGCAAACATTCTCCTCCCTACTGCTTTCTCACTCTCTCTACTCTCTCCCCCAAGGTTGAAAGTCCTACGGCTCACCGCACCGCAGTTCCAGAGGTGAGGCTCGTCTACAGCCTCACAGGAGGACACAAGGTAAGTGACCCCCACCCCTCCCGAGTAAGCTGAATATCGCTTGGTTGTCTTTGCCCAATCACCCTTGCCTTTCAGCACTCAGCAAGCTACTGGCCCAGTGGCTGGATGTCCTGTCCCTGTCTGCTACCTCGTACCTTCTCTACAGACTTCTCCTCTGCCCTTCACTCCCTCTCTCTCTTTTTACTTTTTACCCCCACTTTACTGTCTTAGTCCACGGTCGAATATCCTACGGTGAGAGCGACAGCAATCACGTAGGCGGCCCAGAGCATTGGTCGTTCTCTCACTAAAGCCCTTGAGCGATACTGAAAAGCGGTATCCGCCTGGTGCGACAAAGCAGCCCAATTTAGGGAGAACAATGTTCACCCCTCGAGATGGGGGGAGCCACATAAGGTGCCTTGGATAAAGCTGAGTTCACGACATCTGCTCTCAGACAGTGGCTCGCAGACTGCTTAACATGCGGTCGAAACCAAAATGCAAAACAAAATACTCCCTCTCTCTTCGTCCGCCCCTCCTCTCCGCCTTCCCACTCCACAGGCAGCTAGGGTGAGTTCGCTCACTCTGGCAGCCTGGAGTGTTCGCTCCGTTACAGACAAGACCAGGAGCAACCCACCGCAAAGTCACAAGCTAACGACGATGTTGTAAGCTCTTCAGGCTAACTCTGGTCGTTCTTCCACTACTTCAAAGACGTGGCCCACAGTAGAGTTCGGCAGCGCCTGACACTACCGAGCAGCCCTATTTAGGAGGGCACTGCTTACCCCTGCAAGGGCGAAGGGGCTAGAATGGGTGCCCTAAAGGATTTCTGGGGAACCACGCCGTCAGCAGGCTGACCGCGGTTGCAGACGTTAAACTCACAGTCGAAACAACTAACAAAGAAACAACAACACACACTCTCATCCTCTTCCTGCTTCTTCTTCTTCTTCTTCTTCTTCTTCTTCTTCTTCTTCTTCTTCTTCTTCTTCTTCTTCTTCTTCTTCTTCTTCTTCTGCCCGCCGCCCCACTCGCCAGACTGGTAGGGTGAGTTCGCTCACTAGCACAGCCTGGAATGTTCGTTCCATTTTAGGCCCCCCGAGGAGCAACCGACCGAAACGGAGGACGGCACTGCTGGCTCGGGAACTGGCGCGCTACAAGGTGGACATAGCTGCACTCAGCAAGATCCGTTTCTCCGAAAAAGGTCAAGTAGGAGAGGTGGGCGACGGTTACACCAGCTTCTGGAGCGGTCACCCAAAGACAGAGCGACAGGACGCACGCGTCGCTTTCGCCATGCGAAACGACATCATGGACGACTGCCCTGACTGCCGCAGGACATCAACGATCGCGTGATGAGCCTCCGCCTGCCTATTCGTAGAGGCAAATTCACCACCAATATCAGCGCCTACGCTCCGCCGATAAGCAGCTCTAACGCCGAAAGAGACAAAATCTACGAGGACCTGCACTCTCTCCTGGCGTCTGTGCCAAAGGCGGATAAGTTGACTGTCATTTTTGACTTCAAGGCTCGCGTCGGAACAGACCATGCAGCCTGGAGAGGAGTGCTGGGTCCCCATGGTCTCCGCGGCTCCAATGACAATGGCCTACTCCTCCTACGAACCTGCGCAGAACACCGACTCATCCTGACGAACGCATTCTTCCGCCTCGCTATGCGAAAAACGGCATCCTCGGTCGCGTCAGTGGCACCTGCTGGGTTGTGTCCTCGTCCGGAGGCGAGA